GTTTTCTATGTTAAAGATACCTCAGGGGAAGATTAATCGTATCTATCAATTATTGGATGCCTACTCCATGCCAAGTGTGATGCTAAGCACTTCATATGTAATATAATTCTCACCACAAGCTGTGATAGAGGCATTTTTATGAATTCAATTTTAGAAAAGGAAAACTGAGGTTGAAAAAAGTTAATTTTGCCTAAGGTCAAAGTGTTATAAAATGGTGGCTCTGGGGTTCAAACCTAAGTCTGCCATCTTTAGTGCCTCTAATTTGCCTCTAGCTTAGCTGCCTGACCTGCTGTGTTGGACTGAGCCATATAATTTTCATATTGAATAGGCGACATGTTACCTTCTGTTATGGACTCCAAACTCATATGTTGAAATCCTAACCTTCAATGTGATGGTATTTGGAGGTGGGGGCCTTTGGGAGGAAATTAGATCATGAGGGTGGAGCCCTCATGAACAGAATTAATGCTCTTATACAAGGCTACGCAGAGAGCTCTCTTTCTTTCTCTCTCTCTTTCGGCTATGTGAGGATACAACAACGAATTAGCACTCTGCAACCCAGAAGAGGGCTCTCATTAGAAGCTAAACATGCTGGCACTCTGGCCTTGGACTTCCAGTATCCAGAACTGTGAGAAAAAAATTTTTGCTATCTCTTTATTTTGTTATAGCAGCCTGAACTGAGTAAAACACCTACACCTCAACAATATGTCATTTGCCTTAGAAAATGGTCCAACCCAAGTCATAGCCTCCAGAGATTTTCCATCATGTTCGGAGTATCTCAGATAATGAGATAGTCATGACACTGTTGAGCCAAAAGAAACACTCTTGCTTTGCGCTTGCAGGTGAGGTGATACAGGAGAGGAATATCTGTGTGTCCTTGTCCTTTAGGTTTGCCATTGATGTAACCAAGGCTGTGCACTCCATGAAAATGTGCAGTGTAGATGTGATCTTTGTAAATTGGTCCCACCTTTGGAAAGAATGAGATGGAATCCTAAAATATATTTATTTAGCAATTCATGCTCAAAGATTATATAATATATAATAAAAATTACACTTAAGGACATCTATGAATCACTTTAATGGTCTTTTTATTAAGCTGAGAAATACAGGTAAGTGTAAGGTCCCCTTTATCATAAGAAAAGTCTTCCCATGGAGGATTCTGAGTTTATTAAAAATAAAATTTTACATTGTATTATGCATAAGAGTATTCTATCTTCATAGTGATTAAATGTAAACAGAAAGGGAAGAGTAGAAAAGCAAATAAAGTGAAAATGAGGAGAGAGAAAGAGGCAATGGGGAAATGCAGAAGGAAGACAGGAGCACAAATTCACCCCCACTAGGCCTGCATTCTCTACTCTACACCAAAGCAGCTGGCCATAAGCAAATCTTCACTCATTTTTCCCATTTGTTGCTTTTGATTTGGGGAAGATTTTGTCTAAATAAGAAAAGGGGCAGGGTTGAGGGTATCAAAGAAAAAACAAAGTAGCCTCTGGAGAAGTCCTCAGAATCTATAAGGGCTAATTTTAAAACTGTACACTCCAAGAGTCAAATGGTATGCCTGGAGGGCTTGCTTCTGTGTGATCTGACTTCCTGCCCCCATCCCTACCCAAACCAATCTGGAGGTTGTCCCACTAGGGTCCTTTGGACAACTTTTCCCCAGCAGAGTACTCACCCCTTTCCCCATTTAAGCAAAGGCTCTTTCTACTCCAAAAATCATACCCTTAGGATTCCCAGTTTTACTGCTTATCTCTCTTCCTCATAGTGTGTGCTTGGTATTTACTGCACAAGCAATCAATGGTTATTGCCATGTGAGAAGTGGGAGAACAGCTATATATAAATTTGGAAGTTATAGCTTGTGTACTTACATATTCTAGTGATTTAGTCTCTTTTAGGCATTCACAGTTTAGTTTTGCCACCTTTAAGTTGGCTTTCTGATGTTTTAACCTGGACCTTTGAGATTATTTCAATTTTGCTTCTATCCCTACCTGTAAGCAAGCTATTTCTACTAGTTCTTTGGGACACTGTGGAGAAATAGGTCTTTTTCAGAGTTTCTTGTTGATTTAAGCCTCTTATTAAAACTTTCTCGTGGAAGCCACCTGAATTCAAGTCTGCAGCTCCCCAAATTACACCGGGATTACACCTGGGGTTCTCAATTCCAGCAACCTTTTAGGAACACCTGGGGAGCTTTTAAGGCATTCCAGTGCTTAGAGTCTATCCCAGACCAATTATATCAGAATCTCTAGGAGTAGGATAGTAGTTTTAAAGCTCCCCAGGGGATTCTCAAGTGTAGGCACTGCACTTGTTCAGTTTAGAACCACTGAACTTCAAGCAGAAAATCCTCTTAATTGGTATCTCCTTTATTCTGAACACATTAGCTCCAATTAGCACCACTTGCATCCCATTTCTGATCTTGTGTATTTTCTGGTTCTTTCCTTTCCTTTTTTTTTTTTTCACAAATCACCTCCGTTCATGTGAGAAGCACAGAATTTCTTCAGTGTGAGTAGATGACTTTGTTTTAGTCAATTCACAAATGTAGTTTGAATAAATTTTATTTTTCTATACAGCCTCTGCAATGGAAAAATCACTTTGTTATTTGTGCAAACTTATTAAAATCATCAGATGACACATTTGAATGTACATCTATTGTTATTTGAGTTTCCTTTGCTTCTGTTTTCAGCAATATTAGGCTGAACAAGAAACTACTTCTAGTACAGCACACTTTTCTTAAAATTCTGGATGCTATGTAACAAATACATTTAGAAAAAATTCATGACTAAACTGGTAAAAATAGAAGAATTCCTTGTAGGACAGAAATGTCAATCAAATAATCAAACATTCTAAAAGAGTAGGTGAAGCACTAGAACCAAAGTTTCCCATAGTGATGTCTTCCGATCCCTGGTGGTCTAGAGTGTGGATTTTAATGGATTATATATTCTGGGGGAGAGGAGTCTGGGACTCCCAACAGGTGAGAGGTAAGATCTAAAAAATATAAAGCCAAAACCCAAGAACGGAAGCGCCTTTAGTAAGTAAAGCAGAGAAATATCCGATCTGCAGATTGAGATGGTAAGGCTGCAGGCTCGTCCAAATCTGGCTCTGGTGTCTAACATCCATCATTTTACTACTTCTCCATCTTTAAAAAACATCAACCCAGGGGCGCCTGGATGGCTCAGTCGTTAAGCGTCTGCCTTCGGCTCAGGTCATGATCCCAGGGTCCTGGGATGGAGCCCCGCATTGGGCTTCCTGCTCGGCGGGGAGCCTGCTTCTCCCTCTCCCACTCCCCCTGCTTGTGTTCCCTCTCTCGCTGTGTCTCTGTCAAATAAAAAAAAACAAAAACAAAAACAAAAAAACCATCAACCCAGAGATTAAGTTTAAAGTGGCCCATACCATACCTGGTATGTCTCCCAGGTAACTGGAAGAAATATGTCCAAATATTTTTCTTCCGGAAGATTTTGTTTATTTTATTTATTTTTTAAGTAAACCCTTATTTTTAAGTAAACGCAACGGGCCTCAAGCTTGTTACTGGGAGATCAAGAGTCACATGTTCTACCAACTGTGCCAGCCAGGCACCCCCTCTGGAAGATTTTAACTCAGACCTTGAAGAATTACCACAAATAAAATCCCAAGGAACACAAGCTCAGACACAATTAAAAGATGGGAAATACTTCTGGTGTATTAGCATTAATTATTACAATACCTGTTAGCATAACAAAATTGTTAAATATTTTTGAAAAGTAGCTTTCTTTTCTCTATTTATCTGAGGTTTTTTTTTTTTAATTAGAAACAGATGTTGAATGTTTGAAGTAAACTGTAAGTCTGAAAATATTCTCTTGGATTTTTACGGGGATGACATAAACTATTCCCTGCATTTCCTTCCTAATTATTTTCCTCATTTGATCATAGTTCACGTAATAAAAATAGTGTGAGATTTGTGAGAGATTTTTTTGGTTTATTATTTTCCCTTAAAAATTGGAAGCAGTATTAGAACGCTTAAATATCACTTTCTTTGAATAGTAGTTATTATGTGGAGGGCACTGTTCTAAGCACTCTACCCATATTGACTTATTTAGTGCTCATAATAACCAAATAGTTTGCTATTATTATCCTTATCATATACACACAAGAAAGGAAGCACAAAGGGGTTAAGCAAGTTGTCCAAAATCATATAGCTATTAAGTCTTCAAACTTAGACTGTTGGCTCCAGAATTTCACTCTTGACCTCTATACTATACTGCATCTCAGGAAGTTCTTCCAGGACTACAATGTAAATTAGGAGTTCTTCCATTTTTTTGATGGCACTGTTCATTTCTGCCTGAACATTAGTACAATTTTAAATTATTAATTAATTAGTTTAATGTCTGTCTCCTTCTCTAGGCTCTTTCTCTTTGAGAGCAGAAACCATTTAATGCCATTTCCCTGCCATTTACCCAGATGGCTAGTACACAGAAGGTGCTCAATAAATGATTGAGTGAATGAATGCAGAGAACGTGCATAAAAAAGAACGAGGAAAAATGTTTCCTTCATGGAGTAATGTCTCCATCTTGTGGAATTTTAGAATATTGCCATTCAAAAACATTTTTAAAATAAGATAGGGTTTTCACAGAATTGATTCTCAAAAGCTATTTCCCAGACTTGTACTATATGTACTTGCACACATAATCTGTAATTTTTTTTTAATATCAATATGTTAAAAAGAGTTACTTCCCTGAGCTACCTATTACGGGCAACTCATGAAGTTAGCAAATCTTGCTATTCAAACAGGAAATAGACAAAAAGAAAGTGCTTAGGCCAGGCTGATTATAAATACAGGTTATACATACAGAGTCGTTCCCTCGCCCCCGCCCCTTGATGAAGGTGCAACTCGGCTTCTCTGACCCTAACCTACAAACGAGGCGAAAGGCTGGAGGTCTAAGACACCAGCGAAGCCGCTCCTTCCCCACGACTCTATGGTCCTCAGGTTACTCTCACCACTGAGAACTCTATGGTTCCGGGGGCGGGCTGGGAGGCCTGAGTCTGAAAGCCGAGGCGGGAAGATGGAGGCTGCACCTGTCACCAGGCCCGGTTTCTCCGGAGCGGGAGGACGCTGGGACTGTGACTTTCCCTGAATCGCCGAGGAGAGTTCGCGATGAATCTTCCTCGCTGGAGTGGAAAACGGCGGCGTTCAGCATCAGGCTCGGACTCCTTCTCGGGAGGCGGCGGTGACGGCGGGGACAGCCCCCTGCTCCCCTCGGGGCCCGTGCTGAGTCCGCCGCCGGGTCTGGGACGCTGCTTGAAGGACCGCGGCCGACCGCAGGCCGCAGCTGCAGGTACTCCCAGGCGCTCGAGGGGCCGCGGGCGAGGTGGGCAGCTCTGCCCAGCCGCGTGTGGGAGGTGTAGTTTCAGCACAGAGCTTGCGTGGTTTGCACAGCCCGCTGGACTTCTACTCCCCTTTTCAGTCTGTGACTCTGGCCTAGTGTGGCAGGCCACTTTCTGTTAGGACATGGACGTGCAGATGGGGCGACAGCCTGGTCATAATATTCAAGCGGTTTGTGGGTCTTTAGGCCGTTACAGAAACAACTTCCTAGTCGGCCAGATCTAATCACCTGTCGGGGGCTCACGCCTAATGGTGCCCAGTACTCCTTACAGACCCTTATATAGGAAGTGCTTTATGTCACGATGTGCTTTATATAGATGGCCGCAGTCCAACACGTAGGAATTCCAAAACACAGTGGAAGACTAACAGCTGAAGTCATATGTTAGAATTAGGTTCAACTATTAATTACTTTTTTCTTTCCTGAAAGGGGAATGCAAGCAGACAATTCCTGACGATCAAATAGACAAGTTGCTGTTGGCAAACTGGGGACTCCCTGTAGCGGTTCTGGAAAAATACCACAGTTTTGGTGTAAAAAAGATGTTTGAATGGCAGGCAGAGTGCCTTTTGCTTGGACAAGTCCTGGAAGGAAAGAATTTAGTCTATTCAGGTATTCAAATTTGTGCACATTAATTTCTGTACTACTTTATGACATGAATATAAAGGATACCCTTGAGGTAGTTACGAAGTAATTTAAAAGGTAGTAGTTATGAGGTAGTTTAAAAAGTGAATGAAACTGCTTTATAACTAGAGAAAGTCTTAAAATAGGAAAAGTGGAGTCTCATCATATGCGTGTTTAAATTATGCAAATTCCATTATATTGGTGAGTGTGGGGAGCGAAAAAGCAGACAATTTAAAGAGAGCTATTCTGCTTGTCTTTCCTCTTAACAACCATGTCCCAGGATGAGAGTGCAAGGGAAATGTAAATCTGCTCTTCCCCTGGTTGATCTCAGTTGCTTTAGAGTGTGTGAACATTATACATTATGTATTTATAATAAACATATTATAAATATGTTTATAAACATATAAACATATTATAAATACATAATGTATAATGTTATATACATTGACCTGCTTGTACAAGGTTGTATACACAAAAACATATGTAATTTACCATATAGAAGACTTATATAGGCTTTCAGGGGCAACTCTGACATTCATACTTTTTAACCTTTTTACTCACTGACTTTAGAACTTACCATAAGATGCACTTTCTTTGTATCAGTTTTTTCTGAAGTTGTGAGTCATCCAGATTTTTAATTAATGCTTCAGCCGATAGTTATCATTAGGTACAATAAGTTCAGGCTGTGGAGTCAGATTGGTTGGGTTTGAAAACTGTTACAGTTAATGCCTGTGGTAATTAATATAGAGCATATTAATAGAAAGCATGACTGAAGGCTTAGAACAGTTGTTGGCATATAGAATGTACATCATAAATACTAACTGGTGGCAGTGGTAGAATGGCCTGACCATTTCAACTGCTTAAACCCAAACTTGAGTATCATTCATATTTCTGGTTGCCAGCTTACATCAATTAATCACCAAGTCCAGTGTATATTATCAAGTATCTTTTTTTTTTTTAAAGATTTATTAAGAGAGAGAGAGTACACACGAGAGTGTGAGTGCGTGGGGAGGGGCAGAAGAAGGGGGAGAAGGGGAGAGAAGCAGACTCCTCCCTGAGTGTGGAGCCTGATGGGGGCTCAGTCTCACCACCCTGAGATCATGACCTGAGTGGAAATCAAGAGTCAAATGCCCCACCGACTGAGCCACCCAAATATCTTGATTTTGACTACTCTCTGTTTTTAGGTACACTACCTAGTTTATTATCCTCTTTCTTGTAGATTATGCTCATCTTCTAGATTATGCAATAGCCTTATAACTAGTTTATATTTTCTCTCTGGTTTTATTCTGCCTCTGCTTGCAAAGTGGTCTTTATAGAGTACAAATATGATCTTGCCACTCCTTTTCGTAAAACTCACTAGTCACTCTACATTGCTTTCAGGATAAATTCTAAATTCCTTAGGTGGTGGGATTATAAAATTCTTTTTCATGTGATATATTCATATCTCTTCTCTTACTCCTCCTGGTTTTATTTCAGGCTTACTAAATTGCTGCCCTCTGAACTTACCAGGCTTTCCTCCAGGCTTCTGCACATGTTGTTTCTTTTGCTTGGCATTTCTTTCCTCTTCCCTTCTCGTCTCATAAGTTGTGTTTCCTTTCCATAAACTTCATTATAGCTCTTCTCTCTCAACTTCTATCATGGTTCCTACCACAATATATTAAACTTGTTTATCTCCTTCCTCAAAGCAGAGCTTTTAACCATTCAGCACTTAAAGGAAAGGATCGGTAGATACAAGCTAGGGACTAAGTATTCATCATTTATTGTTCATAAAAGGATTTGTTTAATAATTTTCTGTTTTCGGGGCGCCTGGGTGGCTCAGTTGGTTAAGCGACTGCCTTCAGCTCAGGTCATGATCCTGGAGTCCCTGGATCGAGTCCCGCATCGGGCTCCCTGCTCGGCAGGGAGTCTGCTTCTGCCTCTGACCCTCCCCCCTCTCATGTACTCTCTCTCTCTCATTCTCGCTCTCTCAAATAAATAAATAAATCTTTAAAAAAAAATAATAATTTTCTGTTTTCAGTGTGAGGCTATCTAGAGTGCTGGTTGAAGTCAGGGTCATGTAAGCAAATAAAGTTTTCAGATGCTAGTAGGGGCCTTAATGATAGGCTAGTCTAAGGCTCTGTAGTTACTGGATATGGCTTAAAACATTAATTAATGCAGTATATCAAATATTACTTCTCTTTGTAATAACCTTGTGGAATAATATGTTTTAGCTCCTACAAGTGCTGGGAAGACTCTTGTTGCTGAATTACTTATGTTGAAGCGAGTTTTGGAAATGCGGAAGAAAGCTTTGTTTATTTTGCCCTTTGTCTCTGTGGCTAAAGAGAAGAAATACTATCTTCAGGTAATGTTCTTGTACTAAGAACATTATTGTAATAAGATCTATTATTGGCAGCTGTGTTAATAAAGGTTTCTTTTATTGCATCCCAAAGTAGCTTTAAAAGTTGACCATTTATGAAGAGAAACTTTTTTATTATTGCATAAAGGAGAAAGGGTCATTAAATCAAAACAGTAATTGAAAATTGTGTTAAAATTTATGAACTTTTCCTTAGGAAGTGAACAGAATATTTCAATTAGTATTTAAACATATAAATTAAAAAACAGCATTTTAACTGAATAGTAGAATTAAAGTGAAGCACGGAAAGGAGAGTGTTTAAAGAAACATATCCTATCCTAACTGAGGGCCATTTGGGAGTAGTTAGGGGAAGAAGAACAAGATCAATTGGTGCGTAGGTAAAGCTTCAGGCCTGTGGTCTGTTCTGCAAAAATGAATAATAACATTTTTCATTTGTATGCTACTCACTGGTTTTTAAGGCATTTTTACAAATAACAGTGTTTCATTAAATAGAATACATTTACTGTTGTGATCTCTGCAGCGAAAAAATATGTTGCAATGGCAAGACTATTATACTGGTAGTCAAAAAATCTGGGTTCTAGTCCCAGTTTTGCCATTAACTATATCTTCAGGCCAGGCACATAATCTCCTGGACCTCAGTATTTTCATTGGTAAAATGAGGATTTTAACCCTAATACTATGGGTTAACTCAATAACACTCAGAAACATTTTATTGAATGAACAGCTCTAAAGTTCTATGGTTCTATAAATCTTTTTAACAGTTATTTCAGAGGCCAAATAGCCAACAAAGCTGGTCCTACATGGTAACATCCTCTCAACTTAGACCAAAGTAACAAAATGATGAAAGGATCCTTTTTATTGAGAAGGTATGTTAGTTAAAGTTAAACTACAAAAAAAAAAAAAAAAAAAAAAAATTAACATCAAGGTCCCACTGCATTGGACTTTTGAAAACTTCTATTGTATAAAAAATTGTGGGATAATGAGAATAATTTTTTCATGAAGTCTAAATTTGTTTCTTAAAATGTTACATTTGTGTTTTAAAAAAGAGCTAGTTTCTTGCATGTTCATTAGATTAAAAATTTAGTGCTTAAGGTAGTTTTCTTTCAATTTTAATTTCTATAAATAACTCTTGGAAGTGCTGTATTAATGTAATCGTTAAAATGGCATACTTCTGTTGGACTCTGTCTTAACAGAAAATCTCTGTTCTGAGTTTTGTCAGTTCTAAACTTCATATTTTTAGCATGTAATACTAAAAAAAACCCCAAAAAACAGTGTGTCCTGGCCAGGAACAACCAACAGTAATCTAATAAATATCTTTGGATACTTATGTCTGTGTTCTGGGATAGAGCCAATCTACAATTCATGAATTTCAAGTATTTTTACTTGTATTGTTCCTTTTCACTCAATTCAGAGTCTGTTTCAGGAAGTAGGAATAAATGTGGACGGTTATATGGGCAGTGCCTCTCCAACAGGGCATTTCTCTTCCTTGGATATTGCTGTCTGCACAATCGAGAGAGCCAATGGTCTGATCAATCGCCTCATAGAGGAAAATAAGATGGATCTATTAGGTAAGAAAAGTAGGAAATAAGCAAATATTTTCTGTTGCTAATTTTTGATGGAATGGAGTGGAGCTGTTGTGATTTCTATATGTCCCATTTTTTTCTTATTATCTGTCATCTGCTTATGGAGTTGAGAATTGGCATCTGTAATGTTAGGAACTCTGTGTTTAAAAAAAAAAAAAGTTTTTTTGCTTGCTGTTATTGACTATTTCCCTGTATGTTTGCACTTTACAAAACACAGAGGATATCCTTGAGCCCTCAAGTCATTTCTTATTGCTTCTTTTCTGTCTAAACTTTACTGGGAATAGAAGGAAGCATGCTGGGGCTGTTTCTGCCATATCCGCAGTTAGTATGTATTCATTATCATATTCTGGTGCTAGGATATCTAGATTTGGCCTTTACTTAGAGGTTACCATTTAGCAGGGAAATGGTATGGAGCTATAGAAGCTGACACTGTATATGAGTTTGGAACTCCGGGAAGGTTTTCTACCTTAATACTTTTTTTTTTTTTTGTAACCACTTAGAAAAGTCTATGTAGAGGTAGCAGCAGGGAGAGAATGGTTGTAGCATCAGCAGAAGCGGCAACTCATATCAGTTAGCTACTCACTGAGATCCTGGTGAACTTAAATGGTAAAGTTGGGTAGGGTAGGAGTGGGGAATGAAATCAAAGATTAATAAGACATGGCTCTGCTCTGTAAAGCTTAGAGAAATCACATTCATCAATTTGTATCAGAATTGTCTTATCACTTGTAACCCCATTGGATTTTAAATATCTCAAGGATTGCAATAGAATCTTATTAAATGTGATATCCAATATACCTAGCACAGATATTTTTTGAATGACTGAGTGAGTAAACTGAAATAACTTATCATGCCATATGATTTTTGAGATAGCTTACTGATGAGGAAAAGGAGCATCATGTGCCATTAGGAAATGGGTCTGAAAGATCTTGATTTAGGTGGGGAGGCTTTGTCAGGGGGATACCAGTGCCTGTGAAAACCATGATCTTATGACTGTGTTTAAAGAAGGCATTGGTTGGTACTAACTTTTCAGTAATTCTTGAGCATTATTCCAAGTGCACAGACTGGTTTAATTCTCCAAGTAGTGGAGAAGAGGATTCTGGTAGACAAAACATACTTATGTTTTGTAGTAGAGTGACTCATTACCTATCATCATCAAACAAAAACATCCCTTAAAATCATTTCTTTCTTCTTGATGTGATTTTGTTTTTCTTTTTTTTTTTTTTTTTAAAGATTTCTTTTTTTTTTTAAAGATTTTATTTTATTTATTTGACAGAGAGAGACACAGCGAGAGGGGGAAAACAAGCAGGGGGTAGTGAGAGAGGGCTTCCCGCCGAGCAGGGAGCCCCGATGCGGGGCTCCATCCCAGGACCCCAGGATCATGACTGAGCCGAAGGCAGATGCTTAACGACTGAGCCACCCAGGCGCCCCTAATTTTGTTTTTCTAAGCAACTTTCTAACGTCAGTATTGTTGGTTGCCCTGGTTGTTTTCCCCCATAGAAAAGTCAATACACTGAATAACTGTCCTAGCATGTATTTGATATCTCATTGTACGTGTATTTCTACAAGGTTGCCAATAAAGAAGTATCTGAGTAATGAGAGGCAGTTTCCTCTGAGTTAGCTAATCATTGATTTTTAGATCCAGAATACATTACAGTAGGACCACTTATGATATCTGAAATGTCTTGAGAAAGGAATGTCTATTATGTGAAATCTGATTTTTGTTTTATGGTTAGAAATTTGTATCACCTGCAATATACTGTAGTAATGACAGCTACTTACTATATAAGATACTGAGTCTTTTAAAATTTTTCTTGAAATTGTGAAATTTTGTAAAACCTAGTATCTGGATAATCTCTTTAGGAATGGTGGTTGTGGATGAATTGCATATGCTGGGAGACTCTCACCGAGGGTATCTGCTGGAGCTTTTGCTCACTAAGATTTGCTATATTACTCACAAGTCAGCATCTTGGTGAGTACCTGAAATAACTGAGTTCCTGAGATTCTAAGCAGTGTTGAGAAAGTGTTTGCAGAAGTGCGTAGTAAGTATGAATTAAACAAATTAAAGAAGGAGAATAATACCTATTTAGAACAAACTCATGTACAGCAGTTCATTTTTGTTCCAAAAGAAGTACTTAAGACTGAGTGATTTTAGATGATTTTGTAAACATTTTAAAATTTTGGATTGTTCACCACTTTTATGGTAAAATTTTAAAAATCCAGTTTTTGTATTTGTCAGTTATACATCATTCTATTTGAGCAGTCAAGGCTAATTTTGAAAAATAACATTTCTTCATCCCCTCTTTCCAGAGGCAACTACTTTCAACTCTTACAGCTTTAAAAAAATTTATTTACAGTGTTATTTCTAAATGTAGCCACTTGTGTTTTTAGTTTTACACATTATGTATTGACTACTTACTATGAAAGATGAAGATCTAGCTCTTCTTTAAAATCTTTACTCACCCAACCCAATCTCCTCCCACCTGACCCCCCAGTCTCTCTTTGTCCTCTCATCATCTTCCCATTCTCCAAATACTGTTATGCCATAATTTTGCTCAGATCAGTATTTAATGTTCACTGTTAGGACTATATAAATGCCTTTGCCAACCGAGTCATGTAGTGTATTATGATTACTTTTACCTTCTAAATAACTTTTTGTTTTCTCTGAAATTAATAAATATCTTTTTTGTTTGATGGCTTGGTTTTCTCTGTCCTTTTCACTGATTGATCCCCAGCCTCTTTCCCTCTTATGTAAATCTCCATCCAATATGTTCTAACACATTTGCTATTCTACCAAATTCATCTTCTTGAAGTTTCTCCAAAAGACTTCTGAATTGTTCTAATCTGGTTATGTGGGTAAACTATATATGTGCTGCATAGTACTTATTTTAGGATCTTTCTTTATCATTTATTTCTATTGCTTTTTGCTTGAGTCAGAGTCCCCCTTTTTTGGATAACATATTTTTTTCTTGATTTACTTTCTCATTTTGGTGGGGACATCTTCCAGGATGTTCCACTTTATTTTAGTGTACAGTCTATTCATATGATTTTTTTTGAAAGTTTGCATATCTGAAAATGCCTTACAGTTATTTCATAGATTGTCCAGGTATAGAAGTCAAGGTTTTAAATATTTTTCCTTTAGAGTTTTTAAGACCTTACTTCATTCTCTTGTTACTGTTGAGAAATCCAATGCCATGCTTATCCTTTATCCTTTGTATGAAATTTTTAAATTTTCTCTGGGAGTTTTTAGGGGCTCCTTTTCTTCCTCAGTGTTGTGAAATTTCACACCAATATGTCTTGGTGTTTCATTTTCGTTCATTGTGCTTGTTGCTCAATAGATTCTTTCAATCTGGGAGCTCTTATGTTTCAGTTTAGGGAGATTTAACACCTCTTTTTCAGTATATGAGAAAACATGGAGATAATTATCTATATACCAGATCAGTAGGGATATAGAAGATATGACTAATGCAATTAGCAAATTTGACCTAATGGATGTATGTAGAAGAATTACCAAATAAAAGCAGAATATATGTTCTTTTCAGTGTGCATAATAAAACGTCGCTCTATGCTGGGCCATAAAGCCATATATTTTAAAGGATTTAAGTAATTTAAAATATATTCTCTGACAAATGGAAATAAACTAAAAAATAAGTATAGGAGAGGCATATGTCCCCTGGAAATTGGGAAATAGACTTTTACCCATTTTTGGGTCAAAAAAGTAATCACAGTAGAAATTGGAAGATAGTTTGAATTGAAAGTATATCTCCTAACAAAACTTGGGAAATGTAGTTTAAGTTTAAAGGGGAATTGATAGTATAAAATGCATGTATTACTGAAGAAGAGAGACTGAAAAATTAATGTATTATTCATCTCAAGAACTTAGAATAGTAAAATAATGCCACAGAAAGTAGAAGGAGAGAAATAATAAAGACAAGAGCAAAAATTAATGAAAGAGTAAAGTCATTATCCAGAACATTCAAACAGTTCTGCAAATCAAGAAGAAAAAACTCAATATATCAATGGGCAAGTACCTTCAACAGGCATTTATAAGATGGTATCCAAGTGGTCCATAAACATGAAATGATAATCTCATTAGTAATCAAAGCAATGTAAACTACTTCTTCAAAGAGATATTACCACACACTCTCCAAAATGGCTAATGTTAAAAAGATTGGCAATACTAAGTGGTGACAAGATGTAGAACAATAAAACACACATGGATCATGGAGATACTTTAGTACAGTCTCTTTGGAAAACAGTTTGACATCAATAAAATTGAAGATGATCTATAACCCAGTAATTTTACTTCTAGGTGTATACCTTAAAAATGTATGGGTGTGTGGACCCAAGGACATGACCAAAAATACTGTTAGCAGCACTATTTGTAACTAATACTATGTATCTCTGAACATCATTTTCATTTGTTTTCCACAGCCAGGCAAATTTAGCCAGTTCTTTATCTAATGCCGTGCAGATTGTTGGCATGAGTGCTACTCTTCCTAATTTGGAGATTGTAGCGTCCTGGTTGAATGCTGAACTCTACCACACCAACTTTCGTCCTGTACCACTGTTAGAGTCAGTAAAAATTGGAAATTCTATATATGACTCTTCAATGAAGCTTGTGAGGGAATTTCATCCCAATCTACAAGTAAAGGTAAGTCAGTATTTTTACATCACTACTCCTAATATTTTGTGTTTGATTGCATTTTCTAGAAGTTAACATTTTTTTGAGTTATATAAATTAGGGGTTGCAATGTAGTTGAATATGCTTTACATATCCATTAGAAGGATTATTAATATTAAGCTAATGGTTTCATCTTAAATAATTGGTGGTGATGGTGAGAGAAGAAATATAGTTGTGCCTTCAATTTATTTATTTTTTTAAAGGTTTTATTGATTTATTTGACAGAGAGAGAGAGAGAGCACAAGCAGGGGGAGAGACAGGCAGAGGCAGAGGGAGAAACAGGCTCCCCGCTAAGCAGGGAGCCCGATGCAGGGCTTGAACCCAGGACCCTGGGATCATGACCGGAGCCGAAGGCAGATGCTTAACTGAATGAGCCACCCAGGTGCCCCAGTTGTGCCTTCAATTTAAATGATTATCTTTTCTAATAAGTATAATAAAAGATAATATAAATAATAAAAAATACCTAATTTTGTAGATTTTTCTTTTTAACTGGGAAAAGATTTTCTATTTTTTTTTATAGTTGTTTTTTTTTTTTTTTTATATGACAGAGAGAGACACAGCAAGAGAGGGAACACAAGCAGGGGGAGTGGAGGAGGGAGAAGCAGGCTTCCCACGGAGCAGGGAGCCTGATGCGGGGCTCGATCCCAGGACCCTGGGATCATGACCTAAGCCGAAGGCAGACGCTTAACCATCTGAGCCACCCAGGCGCCCCGGGAAAAGATTTTCTTATGGCTTAGTTTACACTAAGCACTAATGTGGAAAATTAACTTTTGTTAAGTAGTAGGTATAATATATAGTAAAAGGGAAAAACATCATTTTTAGAGTCAGACCTACCTCTGATACATAATAGAGACACTTGATATGGCTGATATTACTTGAATCACAAAACCTCTCTGAATATACTATCTTCATCTAGACAGTGGAATGTAATACTTATTCTAGGAATGAAGGATGGTTTTGTCTGGCATCTAGGAAGTGCTTGATAAATTATAAATTCTCTCACACACCCGTAAATACACTTAAAAAATTTTAGTTCACAGTATTTTTTTAAGTCTGATTCTTCAATCCTGAGTTAAAAACGTGACTCATCATCTGTGGAGTGGGACATCTCTTTTTGTGTAGAGCTGTTCCTCCGAGTACGGAAACGCTAGAGCTGGGAATAGGAGTAAATTCATGTGTTTCAGTCCTCTCCTAGATAGGCATTTGTAGTCTCTGTATGTCTGGCATGGAATCTTCCTCAGTTGCTTTGCTCTGTACCCCAAATTTCATCAGACTGTGCCTTGGTACCTCAACAAATATGTAAACACATTTCATTTGCTCTCCTGTTAATCTTTTTCTGTTGGTATGTCTCTGCCTCCACCCTGTTTGAATCACTTTCAACTCTTACCTGGATTATTGAAATAGTCTCCTAATTGATCTCTCTGCTTCCCACCTTCTCCCTTTCAGTCTATGCTTAAATCAGGAGCTAATGATCTGTTTAACATGAACATCAGAAAACATAACCATTATGTTCCCACCCTTGAAATGGTTCCTTGTTTTGTTTAGAATGAAAGCCAGCCTCTTTTTGGTAGGCTATAAGACCGTACATGATCTGTCCCCACCCCTTAGTGCTCTGACCTCACCTACTACTTTCCTTCTCATTCCCTCCACAGCCTATTTGCTGTTCCATAATATGCCAAGAATCTTCCACCTCAGGTTCTTTCTTTCTGGAATGCCTTCCCCCCCGGAAGCATCAGTATGGTTTACTCTTTCACCTTTGGACCTTTACTCAAAAGTCACTTTCTGAGACCTTCCCTGGCCACCTTGTCTAAATTACAGTGTCCTCCCATTCCTGGTCCCTATTTTCCATTTTCTTTTTCTTTTTATCACTTTTCAAAATTCTGTATTTTACTTTTCTTGTTTTTGTTATCTCTCCCTTCCTACTGGCGTAGTAACACTTTGAGGAAAGAGCTTTTTCTCTGCTTTATTCTTTATCCCCAGTACCTAGGACAATATCTGGTACATAGTAAATGTTTGTTCATTGGGTGAATGGATGGATGAATTAATTAATCCAGTCAAACACCCCTTCCAGTTTTGGGAACTCACTGGGCTACCGCAGGGCATTTACATATGCTTTGTTCTGCCTGAAATTTTTCCACTGTCCGCCAGTTACCTTTCATTGAAATAATGCCTCCCCTCCTTTGTATCTCAGCTAAATAATTTTTCCAGAGAAACCTCTTTGATTTTTTTCTGTCAAATTTATGTCAAATATGAGGCTTTGAAACATCATAAAATTATTTTATAGTACATCTAATAATTGTATTTTACATTTATTTGTTTTGTACCTTAATATGTTTCCCCAGTGAGACCTAACCCCCTTAAAGATAGGACCTTGACTTTCTTTTGCTTACCATTATATCCCCATTGGCTGAGGGTTCAAAGTCAATAAATACTAGTTGAATTAATAGAAAATATTTCCTTTTCACCTTGCATTATAAGGAAGTTTATTTCTCTTTTTCGTTTGCTTTTTCTTTGTTATTGACTTTGTAACTGATTTTTATTATGCCTTTCAGTAGGAAAAAACCTTCCCCATGAAGCAAAATGAGTGACTTTAAACTGATGTGAAAATGTTTTGAAAGGACCATTAGAGTGACTATTTCTCTTTCTTTCTTAGGGAGATGAGGACCATGTTGTTAGTTTATGTTATGAGACCATTTGTGATAACCATTCAGTATTACTTTTCTGTCCATCAAAGAAATGGTGTGAGAAGTTGGCAGATAGCATTGCCCGTGAGTTTTATAATCTACACCATCAAGCCAAGGGTAAGTTACTGATGGAAATGAAAGCTTCTATACTTAGTACACTTGCTTGAAAGTAATGTTAATGAGTATATAAATAAAGCATGACTCTTTTCGATCATTGAGCCACCTGCCCACTGGTTTACATAGTTTACAAAACTGTGCTTTTGTGACTAATCCTCTCCTTATCCTCATTATAGACAATGTATACATACACTCAGGCTAACCTTAAGATTTTTAAAATACTGGATTTATACAGGCACATACTAAGATTCTTCATCTAGGATCCATGGGCTTTGAGATATTGATCTTTGAAGCCTCTAAATTATATATAGAACTTCACATATATACATTTTTCTGGAGAAATCAGACATATCTCTCTTTATATTTCCAAACTCTAAAAAAGAATCACAGACATATACATATATATGTATATAAACACATGTATTTTAAAATTAGCTTTATTGGGGCGCCTGGGTGGCTCAGTCTGTTAAGTGGCTGCCTTCGGCTCAGGTCATGGTCCTAGGGTCCTGGAATCAAGTCCTGTGTGGGGCTCTCTGCTCAGTGGGGAGCCTGCTTCTCCCTCTCCCTCAGCTGCTCCTTCTTCTCCTCTCTTGCTTGCGTTCTCTCTCTCAAATAAAATAAAATAAAATCTTAAAAAATAAATAAAATCAGATTTATTGAGGTATAATTTATATATAATAAAATGTACCCATTTGAAGTGTATAATTTAATGAATTTTAACAAAGTATACACTTGTTTAACCCCCACTATAATGAACCTATAGAACATTTCTATCACCCTAAAATGTAATCTTTGCTCTTTCGCTATCAATCTCCTCTCTAGCCCCAGGCAAGTGATCTGCTTTTTGTTACTCTAGATTAGCTGTGCCTTTCCTAAGAATTTCATATAAATGAAATCTCATAGTAAATACATGTGTTGTATGTTTGGCTTCTTTCAGCATGGTATTTTTAAGATTCACCAGGTTGTTTATCAATTTGTTTTTTATTGCTGAGTAGTGATTTAGTGTATGGCTTTAACCATTAGTATATATTTTACTGATTCTAGGGTGAGCACTGTTCCCTCAACACTTTTGCCAGGCTATGGTCCCTTGGGGCCCAAGATAAGTGTAGGGAAGACAGAAACCAACCAGTTCTGGTCACAGAATATTAGGATATTTTATGATTTCATTGGAATCCTGAGGACAGGTGATAGATGCCTCAAGCTTAGCTCCAATAAGTAAACTTTGCTTGAAGTTTATATTTGATAGGCTCTGGCCCAACATTATAATACCTCTTTCATTTCCCTCCTAATTGATGTTTTCTATACTGTGCCATTTATATTCCTTATGTTGTACCATAATAACTTAAATTCCTTTAATAACCAGAAACATTATTATTATCTTCTTTGCTTCAGATTCTGTTACTTTTATTTATAGCAAAGGTTCCCAAATCCTAGTGCTTGGACTAGAGTCTGGGCTATGGTGAAATTATCACCAGAAAAATAAAGATAAGACAGTGCATTTTCTGTAAAGCTGAAGTTTAAATTCTGAAATTATCCCTACTAATTTTTTTTTATGTTAAAATGACTTTTCTTTTGAAATAAAGGTATTGATCAATGGTAGTTTTTAAAAATTTTAAATTGTCTTTAGCATAATAAAACATTGGTAACCTCTGTGGGTCCTTAAAATTTTAAGAAAATTTTACCTAAAATATTTTTAAAAATATATATGTTAAAGGGGCGCCTGGGTGGCTCAGTTGTTAAGTGTCTTCCTTCGGCTCAGGTCATGATCCCGGGATCCTAGGATTGAGTCCCACATTGGGCTCCTGCTTGGCAGGAAGCCTGCTTTTCCCTTTCCCACTCCCTCTGCTTGTGTTCCTGCTCTCGCTATCTCTCCCTGTCAAATAAATAAATCAAATCTTTAAAAAATATATATATAATATATGTTAAAAATATATCTTATCAGAGGCTTACTAGTTCAGAAATCCAAGATTTTGGGAAATTCTTTAAAGAAAACATAGTTCCTGCATCTAAGAAAGTTGAGATCTTACTAGGGGAGCGGTTTACACAGAGAGGCAAAGACAGAAGATAATGGGTGACTAATTACCACACGGGTAGCAAAGAGGCTAGAAAAATTATCACATAGAAATAGGCTCCTAGGGGTGCCTGGGTGGCTCAGTCGTTAAGCATCTGCCTTTGGCTCAGGTCATGGTTCCAGGGTCTGGGATCGAGCCCTGCATCAGGCTCTCTGCTCGGCAGGAAGCCTCCTTCTCCCTCTCCCACTCCCCTTGCTTGTCTTCCCTCTTTCACTGTGTCTCTCTCTCTCAAATAAATAAAAATCTTAAAAAAAAAAAAAAAAAAGAAATAGGCTCCTAGGTGGTTCTGACGCTGCTGGTTGGTGGGACACACTTTGAGCAAGGATTTTGATTTTTAGGCTCTGAATGGTAGTATCTGTAATCCTCTCCTTCCTCAGCTGTGTCCTTTGATCACCTCTTGTGGGCCTGGTCTCACCCTAACACAGTGCTTCCTAAACTTTGGTGCACATTAGAATCATCTGGGGAGATTTTAAAATTCCTTATGTCCAGGTTGCATACTGTTGCATCACAATGTCTAGGAATAAGAGCCAAGCATAAGTATTTTTAAAAGATGTCCTGCTAATTTTTTGTATAGTAGTTTTAGAACCATTGCCCTAATATTTAGCTCTGTCATGACTTAGGCAGATAGCATTTAAAGAGGTCCAGCCAGAGGTGAACAGTGTTGATGTTTTTTCTGTGACAGGATTGGTAAGATCATCTGAACTTCCGCCAGTGAAACTGGAACAAAAGGGCCTCCTAGAAGTGATGGATCAGTTAAAACGTTCGCCTTCAGGCCTGGACTCTATATTACAAAAAACTATACCATGGGGAGTAGCATTTCATCATGCAGGTATCCATATTTATAATCTGTTATTAAGAAGTCCCCTCCAAAATCCTTATAATTTCTTCATTTTTATATTTTTGTGCATTTGATTTCTTGTCAACCACACTACTTTTAGATTTCATTTTAAGAAGTGTGTGATTAAGATTAAACAAGAGTAAAACACATTTAGTTTATGTATCTGTATAGTATATATATACTAGATAAAGGTTTTTTTGTACCATGGGGGAAGTGAATTCTTTTTTTTTTTTTTTAAAAACAGAACGTTTATTGTGTGACTAATCATTGAAATCCTTAAGATGAACTGGATGCTGCAACAGCTGCCCTCTTGGGCTTAGGTGTTGTTCCTTCACAGAATCCATGCCTGAATCTGCGGAGCCTCATTCGACCCGTCCCAGTGGTGTTTTGTCTTTTAGCCTTGGCACTCCACTCCAGTTACACTTGCTCATGCGCTTGGCGGGATAGCCGCATTTGCCACAGGTGGACTTCTGAAGGTGGTAGGCCTGCGAGCCACAGCGGCGGCACAACGTGTGCGTCTTATTGCGACGCTTTCCAAACGATGACGTCCCCTTCGTCATCTTGTTTCCGTGGCAGACCCCCGGGGAAGTGAATTCTAAAATTATTACAATTCTACACTTTGTTTCCTTAAAATTCAGGTTAGACAGGTACTTGATACCCTAATTTTATGCTACTCTGAATGTTTCCTTTTATCTTACAGGGTATTGAAACATTCTTACAAATATGTCAAAATCAAATTAATTTTAGAAATTATCATATTGTATTTTGAGAGGGCTAGAGATGTTTAAAAATCATCTGGTTGTCAAAATTGCAAGGATTATACAGTCACTAAATTAAATAACTTCTTTTGGGGAGTGGTCTGTCCATGATCATATATGCTAAGGATGTGGTTAAGAATATATAGTTTCTTCTGCATCCAGAAGAAAGAAACTTTCTTGCACAATACACAAAAATAAATTCAAAATGAATGAAAGACCTGAACGTGAGACAGAATGCCATCAAAATCCTAGAGGAGAACATAGGCAGTAACCTCTGACCTCAGCTATAGCAACTTCTTACTAGGCATGTCTCTGGAGGTGAGGGAAACGAAAGCAAAAAATGAATTATTGGGACTTCATCAAGATAAAAATCTTCTGTACAGTGAAGGAAACAATCAACAAAACTAAAAGGCAACCTTTGGAATGGGAGAAGATATTTGCAAATGACATATCTGATAAAGGATTAGTATCCAAAATCTAAAGAACTTATCCAACTCAACACCCCAAAAAACAAATAATCCAGTTAAGAAATGGGTAGAAGATATGAACAGACATTTTCCCAAAGAAGACATCCAGATGGCTAACAGACACATGAAAAGATGCTCAACATCACTCATCATCAGGGAATTACAAATCAAAACCACAGTGAGATGCTATCTCATACCTATCAGAATGGCTAAAATTAACAACACAGGAAACGACAGATGTTGGTGAGGATCTGGGGAAAGGGGAATGCAAACTGTTGGTGGGAATGCAAACTGGTGCAGCCCTTCTGGAAAACAGTATGGAGGTTCCTCAAAATTAAAAATGGATCTAACCTATGATCCAGCAATTGCACTACTAGGTATTTACCCAAAGGATACAAAAATACAGATTTGAAGGGATACATGCACCCTGATGTTTATGGCAGCATTATCAACAATAACCAAACTATGGAGAGAGCCCAAATGTCCATCAACTGATGAATAGATAGAGAAGGTGTGATACATATATTACTCAGCCATCAAAAAGAATGAAATCTTGCCACTTGCAATGATGTGGATGGAGCTAGAGTATATTTGCTAAGCAAAATAAGGCAGTCAGAGAAAGATAAATACTGAATGATTTCACTCATGTGGAATTTAAGAAATAAAACAGATGAACATAGGGGAAGGGGGAAAAAAAAAGAGCGGGAAGGAAATCGTAAGAGACTCTTAGCTATAAAGAACAAACTGAGGGTTGGGAGGGAGTTCGGGGGGGGGGGATGGGCTAGATGGGCAATGCGGAATAAGGAGGGTATTTGTTATGATTAGCACTAGGTGTAATATGTGGGTGATGAATCACTAAATTCTACTCCTGAAACCAATATTACACTACATGTTAATTAGAATTTAAGTAAAAATTTGAAAAAAAAATATATAGTTTCTAAAATTAGGAATTTAACCTTTTCAATTTATTTAAAATTTTTATTATGCATACATGAATACATTTTAAAATGTATATATATGAACATACAGAAGAATATTTTTATTGTATATAACTTATGATGTATACTAATAAAATGACCCATCACCTAAATTACAAACTCAGTCCTTTTGATTTTTTTTTAATAAAATTAAAAATAAGCCAAGTAAGTATATATTCTTTATGTTGTTTTTCATTTACTCGTGTATTTATTCTTCAGCATTTATTTATGCTGAAGTGTGATGCATAAGCCATATCTCCACCTTCAGTGACTTCATTGTCTAGAACAGGAGTCAACAAACTACAGTCTGCTGGTCAAATCTAGCACACCATCTATTTTTGTAAATAAAGTATTGCAACACAATAATGCCTGTTTGTTCTGTGGCTGCTTTCATGTGACAGTTGTAGGATTGAGTATTTGCAACAGAGACCATCTGTCCTGAAAAGCCTAAAATATTTACAGAAAAAGTTTGCCAAACCCTGGTCTAGAAGATGAGATAAAAGTATACTAGGGGTGGCAGATTGTACTCTTAAAAAGAGAGACCATGGTCACTTCTTTGTTTATAGTCATAACAATAGCTTGAAAAAATCTTTGGAGGCTTGTAGTAGATTCCCATATCTATTTGTAAGTGATCAAGTATGGTATTTCTGTTATATTCATTAATTCACATATTCATTAGTAAATATATGGTATTATAACTTCCTTTTGTTAGGTCTTACTTTTGAGGAGAGGGATATCATTGAAGGAGCCTTCCGTCAAGGTCAGATTCGGGTTTTGGCAGCAACTTCTACTCTTTCATCTGGGGTGAACCTACCAGCACGTCGTGTAATTATTCGGACTCCTATTTTCAGTGGTCAACCTCTAGATATTCTTACTTATAAGCAGATGGTTGGTCGTGCTGGCAGGAAAGGGGTAGACACAGTAGGTAAGTGAGTTTGAATTTAATTGTAATAGCATTGCTGAAGGACAGTGTCAGTCTACGTGAAATTTGACTAGTGCCTGGCAACTCATTTCTTATCATGTGGCATTTCTTTGTTATCCAAAGCACTAATGTCATGTTTTGATTTACTTAATATTTATAATGAATGTAAGTTATAATTTTCATATATCAGCAACCATTGATTTTCTACTAATGTAGAATCAAAACATTCTTTACATTTTATACAGTGAAATGACTTAATATTTTAGTCAAAATGACTTATCACGTTAGCTAGAAGATGATTTCTAATTTTCAGCATAACCTATCTAGTGCTAATGAAGGGAATAATTTTCATGGGTTTTAGTTCTGCTTAGGTGACTGGTCTAAGACTTCAAATAAAGATGCTGAGAGCTGGGAAATACTCTCACAGTTTGGGAATAGGAACTTTACATACTGTCGTTTTCTCTCTAAATTGGTGCTGATTCTGAAAACAACTTTTTAGTTTCTTGTGTCAACAAGTAATGATAACCTTACCACAAACCAGACAGAAGTTTTGTCTTAAGCAATGAGGAAGAGGTTTGTTTAATTAGATATCAAGATAGCAGCAAATACTGTTTCTTACCTGGTACATTATTCTGGGTGTGACAAAATTGTTTTAAGTCTTCTAACATTAAAGAACTTTCAGGGGGGGCGCCTGGGTGGCTCAGTTGGTTAAGCGATTGCCTTCGGCTCAGGTCATGATCCTGGAGTCCCTGGATCGAGTCCCGCATCGGGCTCCCTGCTCGGCAGGGAGTCTGCTTCGTCCTCTGACCCTATCCCCTCTCATGTGCTCTCTGTCTCTCTCATTCTCTCTCTCTCAAATAAATCAATAAAATCTTTAAAAAAAAAAAAAACTTTCAGGGGAACATTCTCTGTCATTCCATCTTCTCTGAGATGTAGTTTATTGACTCCAGTATTATACTATATGTCAAATAAACAGACAAACAGTTCTGTGGCTGCTGAAGAGAAATTAGGGTACCTAGGAGAAAAGGGAAAGTCTTAATGGGAAAATAAGTGGGATTTTCTGGGCACAAAAAGCTGGATAGTATCCGAGGAAGTGAGTTTTAGAATAACTTGGCTTTGTCATCACATCTTCATTTCAACCATCAGGAAGGAGAGATGAGGAAGTAAAGTGCACAGCCTACCCTTTAAGGGCACTTCTCAGGAGTTGCACGGAATATTTCTCCTCACATACAATCAGCCAGAACTTATCACACAGTTACTTTCCCCAGCTGCAAGGGAGACCATATGCCCAACTAACATGTAGGGATTTTATTAAAGGAAAAATGAAAGAATGGCTGTCTGTTTCAGCTCCAGTAACAAATGACTCATCCATCTGTAATCCCTGCAGGGTCATTGGGCTGCCTACTCTTTAAAGCCTAAAAATTCTAATGATTAAAAAAAAAAAAACTTCCAACTCATTGGATTTCCCCTATTATAGGCATCAAAGAAGTTTATCCTGCTTCTGTCTCTTACTTTGCCTATAAAATATGCAGGTTACATGTGTTTAAAGAAGGTTAGGGGAAGAGACTAAAATACTTCCTATTCCTACTTGCTTCCCTCTGACCTTTCCTCAACTCTGATTTCTTAGTAGACTCATAACTCTGGATAGTGAAGTATAAGTTCATCTTACACAGCTGCTTTCTTTTTGGGTCAGAGGGTCTTTAAGGTAATGCAGAAGATGAGGTTTTACTTGCCTTGCTACATTCTTAGATTGTACTTCTCTTTCTCATGGGGAAGAATAATTGGAAGGTTGGTGCCCTGGCCAAATTATCAAGCCTTAAATTAGATAATATTTAAACAAAACTAAAATATACCACAATAACTTTGTTTTTGAGGTCTTGTAAACTTCTGAGATTTTGACTTTGTATAATGCTCCATTTCAGGATGGCATATGGCTTGCTCAGAACTTCCAACAAGTGGGGAATGTGTGAATATAGTGTTTCATATCAATTACAAAGATATGCATACTTGGTCATGCTTTTTGGATTGTGTAGCATCTTTGTACCTTCTTTGCATTTGATAAATGATCTTAATATTTCCTAGACAGTTAATAGTGTTTTATTTAGATGATATTTTAATCTTTTTGCGGAATTCCTAGAACCTTCCAGTATAAGACATTGGTGCTTTGTGCAAAAATAGTGACTTGTAAGTTAAATAGTAATAATTTGTTTGATTCTAATTGACTTCTCTATTGTGGTATAGATAGAACCTCCTCAGACGGGTGGGAGCAGGAACCTGGACTGTATATATTGCCATTAATTTGGGCATTTTCATAAATCTTGCTTCATCTTGAAAAAGGGTTGTCCATTTTGTTGAAGAATCAAAACCTGAAAGTGGTTTGAACAGCCCTAGATGACATTTTTATTTTGCTGCGAATGCTAGTTGATACCTTTTGTAGATAATTTTTTGTCTTATGCTGGGCTATTTTGTCGTGCTTGCAAGAACCTGGTGATACATTTTATTTACCTGTTTTTTATTGTTGTTTGTCTGATGATACCATCTTTTTGTAATTATATCTGGGATAAATAATCAACAGTCATCAAGTTTATAGTCCCTTATCTTTATTCTATCTTCGTTCTCAATTTGGCAGTGTTAGGAAAGCAGCACTTTCTCTCTGCCTAGAATGGTTAGTATACTCCACCACAATGCCACTTTTGGCTTTCTCTAATGCAAGTGGCCTTCCTTTTGCCCCTTGAACATCTTACTTACTTGCTTCTTTTCCCTTACTATTGGATTCATTTCTGAAAAAAAAATTATGGTTTTCTCTAGTTGTAATTGCTGTAATAGTATTTATGTTTGTATAAGTTGTATATTTGTATATGTTTATAATATGTAAGTGCTGTCACATATTTTTATTCATTTGATTGTCAGAATAACCTAAAGTGTTTAGATTAGTGAATGTTATAATGTAATTTCTAGGTTTCTGTAAATATTTTTGAATTTATATTATCGTATATAACTAGTAGTATTTTGCATTTGCATTTTTCTTTATAGTTTTTAAAATACCTCTATTATTATTATTATTATATATTTAATTAGTAAGAATAGTTACTTCTGTATGGAAGGAAAAAATCTTATCCTGTGCCTGCTTAGGTTCTATGGCTAGTGCCTACAAATTAAACTGACAAATGACAGATTAATTAGAGAGAAGGCCTACATATTTTATTTGATATTAATGTTTTCATTTTTTACATACACAGAGGCCTTTATAGAAAAACAGTGAAGATCCAAAGAAGCAGTTAGATGTTAGAGACTTTATACCCTTTTAACAAAAGGCAATAGAATTGAGAAGTGACAAGGCAACGGAAAAGGGATTTGGGCTTCGAGGGGTGGTAAACTGTAGGAAGGCAAATATATAGTGGAAACTAATGGAAGTTAAGGATTATTTTTTTTAATTTAAATTCAATTAGCCAACAAAGAGCACATCATTATTTTTAGATGTAGTGTTCAACAATTCATCAGTTAAGGATTATTTAGAAAGGATTACCCAGACCCACCTTGGTGCTCACTTTCTGTTCAGTAGTAAGTGATAAGAGGAACACCTTCACAAAGAGAAATTTATATCTTGCTTCTAGGCAAGCAGGGTGAGGGCAAAGAACTCTTTCTGTTTCCTAAGTGCCTTCAGGTCAAAATAATCCTTATGCCAAAGTGGCATATTTTGGTGTGGCATATTCGGATCCCCTTCAGTCCAGAAAATGAAAGCATCAGCAATAATTCTATGACCGTAATAACTGCTATCATCTATTACCTTCTTTTTAAGCAAAACATTTGAAATTCTCTTTGGCAGGTATTTTAAGGAAGTATGTTGGGATTTTGCAAATGTATGGTTTTTTGGTTATAGGTGAGAGTATCTTAGTTTGTAAGAACTCTGAAAAATCAAAAGGCATTGCTCTACTTCAGGGATCTCTAAAACCTGTTCGTAGCTGTTTGCAAAGACGAGGAGGAGAAGAAGTAACTGCGAGCATGATAAGAGCTATTCTGGAGGTAAGAAAGAGTTCACCAAATATCCATTTGTTCTTTTGTGCTTATAATATGATGGTAGTACTTAAATATGGGAAGAAAAATCTTTGTGTTTATGAGATTGTTTATAGTCTCCCCAAGTCTGAATGTCTTCTATTTAAGTTATTTCCTGGAGTTTAATACAGCTAGTGCTATAGCAGTACATTTCAAAAACAGTGGATTAAAACCCAAATGCCAGATGATTTTTAAAAATTTTTTTAGATATACTTTATTATCTATGACCTGAGCTGAAGTCAAGAGTTGGACACTTAACCAACTGAGCCACCCAGGTGCCCCTATTTTCTGAATTTTTAAAAAAGATGACAGAAATGGACTGTAGTTCTTTCATCCAGAAAATACCTATGACATTAAAATAAAATCAAATTAGGGCACCTGGATGGCTCAGTCGGTTAAGCGGCTGCCTTCGGCTCAGGTTGTGATCTCAGGGTCCTGGGATCCAGTCCCGCATCGGGTTCCCTGCTCAGTGGGGAGCCCGCTTCTCCCTCTCCCTCTGCCTGCCACTCTCTCTGCTTGTGCTTTCTCACTCTCTCTCTGTCAAATAAATAAATAATATCTTTTAGAATTTTTTTTTTTTTAAAGATTTTATTTATTTATTTGAGAGAGAGAGACAGAGAGAGAGAGCATGAGAGGGGGGAGGGTCGGGAGGGTCAGAGGGAGAAGCAGACTCCCTGCCGAGCAGGGAGCCCGATGCGGGACTCGATCCCGGGACTCCAGGATCATGACCTGAGCCGAAGGCAGTCGCTTAACCAACTGAGCCACCCAGGCGCCCAATAAATAATATCTTTTAAAAAAATAAAAAATAAAATTACAAATAGATATGCTTAGAAGTTTCAAACAACATGGAAAGATCTAAAGTGAAAAATAAAACTTTCTCCTCTGTGTCCTCAAAGCTAACCAGACTCCTTATTTTAAGTGTTTTGTGTCATCCAGAAAAGTTTTCTGTTCATATACCAGCATGCCTTGCTCTTGGCTTCAGTACTGGTACTGTGGTTACCAATACCTGTGCTCATACTCTCCCCCCCGCCCCGCTCCCACCACTTAGCTCTCCATTTGAAAAAAAAAAAAGGAAAACAATTAATAACATGGGGTTGGTAAGGATATAGAAAGTAGGCATTCTCATATACTGCTGAAACTCTTTTGGGAGGGCAACTTGGACATAGCTACTAAGATTAAAAAACAAGCAAGCCCCAGAACAAAACACATAGCCATTTAATCAGTAAATGGTAAATGGTAAAACTATGTTTTGTGGTCATTAAAATGTGTAGGGTAGCTCTGTTTAGGATGATTTGGTATGTTTCAATATGTATTAAATGGAAGAAGGCAAGGGAAAAATTAGTACATTTAATTAATTAGTATATTTAACATAGTTGTGGGAAGATGATTTCCACAGGACACAACTGACTTCACTTTTTCTATACCCATTCCCATCCCCTTTCTGGATGGGAAATATTCAATACTAGCATTCCTATATGCCCACACATTTCAGAGGGAACTGTTGTTGTTAGTTCCTACATTTCAGATAGATAGTGATTCATTTATTTTCATTTATGAGAAAATATTGTATCTACTTTTAAGGAAATTTTCGATGTTGTCAGTAAATGTTATCTACATGTATAATGAATGATGATGGAAGAGTTAATTAAGAGTCTCTACATTAAGATGCTGAGAATATTTTAAGAGAACAAAATCACTTCTTTTATATCATGAGGGCCTGCATGTCTTGTTAAATAGTTACAAAAAATTTCAAACCTCTTTTATCAGATAATAGTTGGTGGAGTGGCAAGTACATCACAAGATATGCAGACTTATGCTTCTTGCACATTTTTGGCTGCAAGTATGAAAGAAGGGAAGCTGGGAATTCAGAAGAACCAAGATTCTTTTCAACTTGGAGCAATTGAGGCCTGTGTAATGTGGCTCCTGGAAAACGAATTCATCCAAATTACTGAAGCTAGTGATGGAACAGAAGGTAAATGTGACTTCTTAATTGCAGTTTACTCACTTTTTCATCTTTAGTGACTTAAGACTGCCTAGTAAAAGGAAATTGACTTTTTAAACACTCTAAAAGGAAACTGGTTTTTCAAGTGGTATATGAATCAGTTTTAATGTCAGTGTTGCATTTAGCAACATCAGATAATTAGCATAGAATCTGCTCATAAATATCCATGCATTGGGCAAAATTTATCAGAGACTAAAAGGTTAATTACAGAATACAGAAAGACAGTGTTTTATTTTATTTTTAACACTTGGTTCATTATTTCCCTATTCCCGCCCCCAACCAGGAAAAGTGTATCATCCAACACATCTCGGTTCAGCAACTCTTTCTTCTTCACTTTCTCCAACTGATACTTTAGATATTTTTGCTGACCTCCAAAGGGCAATGAAGGACTTTGTTTTAGAGAATGATCTGCATATTGTTTATCTGGTAAGTTCTGTTTTCTTCACTATTGTGTTTGTGAAGTTGGGGAGAAAATGCATCCTGAACATTAAAGATACCCTAAGGGAACATCTTGTTTGTTTTCTTCGACTAGGGTAGTAGTGGTGGGAATAGAGACTAGGTAAGAAGAGAGTTGTTTTAAAGTAATAAGCTAAATGTTACAGTGGCCTTTTAATTTATTTGCCTACTTATCAATTTTCTCTAACCTTCTTTCAAAAAGGATTTGAGGTGCTTTATAAAAAACATATTTTATAATGTATAAGAGAATAGTAAAGGACAATTGAGATAATGGGAAATCGAAAATAAGATTATAATGTAAAACTCAAGCAAAAGTTGGTACATAAACATGCATGTCTTTAAGTCATGTACAGTTCCTGTAGCCAACTTTGGTTCTGAGTTTTCTAGCAACTACAGCAAAAAGGAAGGCTTGATTAGTCTTAATATTGATAGGAAAGAAAACAAAACAAAACAAATTAGGAAAAGTGGTACCTGGTTGGCTTTGTCAGTAGAGCATGTGACTCTTGATGGAACACTATCAAGCAAAACAATGTATACATATTGGAATCCAAGATGGAGAAGATAGAAGATGGCAGAAAGTCTCTTTAAAGAAATAATGGCTAAAAATATCCCAAATATGGGGAAAGATATGGACATCTATGTACATGAAGCTAAAGGGGACCCCAAACAGATATAACCCAAAGAGGACTTCACTGGGACACATTATTATCAAACTGTCAAAAATCAAAGAATCAGAATTTTGAAAGCAGCAAGAGAAAAGGTGCTTGTCGTATACAAGGAAACTCATGAGGCTTCTGGTGGATTTCTCAGCAGAAACTTTGCAGGCCTGGATGAATGGTATGATAAATTCAAAATACTGAAAGAAAAAACTGCCAGTCAAGAATACTATGTGTGGCAGTGCTGTCCTTCAGAAACAAAGAGTGAAAGACTTTGCCAAACAAAAGCTGAGGATGTTCACCACCACTAGATGTGCTTTCTAAGAAATGGTAAAGGGAGTTCTTGGTGCTGAAATGAAAGGATGCTAATTAACAATGTAAAAATACATGACTGTATAAAACTCACTGGTAAAGGTAGATTTCTAGTCAAATTCAGGTTTCTGAATGTAATAGTAGTTTGTAAATCACTTTTAACTTTATATAAAAGCTAACGAGAGACATATTAAAAATAACTATACCTAAGAGTTCTGTAGGAAGACTCAGAACTCACCTCCTACATGGAACCCACAATATTACACCTATTAATAGAACAATTCCTCCTGAAGAAGAAATGTGGGCTGACTTAACAGCTACCAAACAACGAAAGAGAACAACAAGAGAGATAGAGATGTGGTAACAAAGGGAACCCCCACCCCCAATGCTGCAATGGTGAGGGATAGTATTGAGGGACCTGGAACAGATCCCTCTGTCCTTGTGCACAGAAAAACCATGGTTTAAAAGAGTAACTAGCATATAAGAGACAACACTAAAACTCTGCCAAGTGGTGAAGGAGTTGTGAGAAAGCTCTCCAGGTCAGAGAGACTAGAGAACAACATGGTTTATGTTCTCCTTGGAAGCCTGGACTGGAGCAGTGTCCAGACACCGTGGTGGGCATGTCTGGTCATCTCGGTGGACTTGTGACTTCAGTGAGTCCAGGGTCCACAGACCCACCCCAGCCCTAGATGCCCTGGCATGCAGAGGAAAAGCCACAGTTTTAGAGGGGAGAGAACTGCAGGAATGCTCCCTCCTCTTCCACCTTGAGGGTCCAGACCAGAGCAGGGTTTGGCCACCATAAGGGGCAGGGTTGGGTGCTGTAATTGGAGGGTTCTGACTCCATAACTGGTGGGTCAGATCATCAGAGAGACTTTGTGACCTCAGTAAGCCCACGGTCCTGAAGACCACACCAGCCCCATTTGCATTGCGGCACAGAAGAAAAGCTACAGTTCAAAAGGGCTGAGGAATTGTGGGAGCATACTCTTTCCCTCCACCTTAAAAGCTCAGACTCGAGCACGGTCTGACTCACTGTGAGCTTGCAACCTCAGTGAGTCCAGGGTCCGTAAGCCCATACCAGCTGTCCTATGGCGCTGGGGCACAGAAAAAAGTTGCAGTTTTGTGTTGTTGTTTTTTATTTTTTTTAATTTTTACTTTTTTTTTTTAACTTTGAAAAGTTTGTCTTATTTTGTTTCAATTCTCTTCCTTTTCGGTTTCATTTTTATTTTCTTATTTTTTTTTCTTTAATTCTCTCTGTAAAAAGTCAAAATTTAAAAGAGTAACTAGTGTATACATCCACAGCTCAAGCCAGCCAACAAAGTCATCAAGGACACACAGTCTGTATAGGGGTCACCATACACAAGACAATTCCTTCAACTTTAGGAGATGTAGCAAGCCATTTCATCTAATCCATAGAAACAGACACAGAAAATCAAGCAAAATGAGAAGACAGAAGTATATGTTCCAAAAGAAAGAAAAAAACCTCAATAAAAGAATTAAATGAAACAGAGATAAGCAATATGCCTGATAAGGAATTTAAAGTAATGATTGTAAAAATACTCCCTGGGCTGGAGAAAAGAATGAAAGAATTTAGTGAGACCTTCAATAAAGTATAGAAAATATTGAATGAATCAGAACTGAAGAATACAATAACTGAAATAAAAAGCACACTAGAGGGAATCAACAGAGTTAGAGGATGCAGAAGAAAATATCAGTGATCTGGAAGACAGGGTAATAGAAAACATACAAGTTGAACAGCAAAAAGAGAAAAGATTTTTTTAAAAGGAGGATAGATTAAGAGATCTGTTGAATAACAACAAGCAAATTCACCTTATGGGGTCCTAGACGAAGAAGAAAGAAAGGTTTAGAATACCTATTTGAAGAAATAATAACTGAAAAATCTCTCTAACCTAGGGAGGGAAATAGACATCCAAGTCCAAGAAGCACAGATAGTTCCAAACAAGATGAACTCAAGGAGGTCCATACTACAGCACATAATAATTAAAATGTCAAAGGTTAAAGATAAAGAGAGAAATCCTAAAAGCAGCAAGAGAGAAACAAAGTTACCTCCATGGGAAAACCTGTAAGACTACCTGTTGATTTTTCAGCAGAAGCTTTGCAAGCCAGAGGGGAGTGGCATGATATATTCAAAGTACATGAAAGGAAAATCCTACAACCAAGAATACTCCACCTGTTAAGATTATCATTCAGATTTGGAGGAGAGATAAAGAGTTTCCCAGACAAACAAGAAGTAAAGGAGTTTATCAAAACTAAAGTAACCTTATAAGAAATAATAAAGGGACTTCTTTAGGTAGAAAAGAAATGGCCATATTTGGACATAAGAAAAATATGAATAAAGAGATGTAAAATATGACAACATGTACATAAAATATGGAGAAGGGAGTAGAAAGAGAAGAGGAAAAAGAAAAACATTGGCCATCAGATTAATATGGACTATTTACTTAGTATATTATATATGAATCTTATGGTAGCCACAAACCAAAAACCTATGATAGATACACAAAAAATAAAGAGAAAGAAAGCTAAACAAAACATTATAGATATTCATCATTCACAAAGAGAGCAAGAGAAGAACAACAAAGAAGAACCACAGAAACAACCGGAAAACCAATTTTTTATATTAAGTACAACAGTTTTTTAAATTAAGTATATACCTATCAATAATTACTTTAAATGTGAATGGCCTAAAAAAATAAATGTAAATGGCCTAAATGCTCCAATCAAAAGACATAGAGCAGTAGAATGGATAAAAAAACAAGACCAATCTATGTGCTGCCAAGACTTACCTCAAACCTAAAGACGCATATAGACTGAAAGTGAAGGGATGGCAAAACATTCACCATGCAAATGGAAGCGGAAAAAAAAAAAGGGCCAGCAAACCAATACTGACATCAGACAAAATAGACTTCAAAACAAAGAATGTATGAGACAAAGAAAGATGTTTCATAATAAAGGGATTAATCCAGCAAGAGGATGTAACAATTGTAAATATCTAGATGCCCAACACTGGAGCATCTAAATACATAAAGCAAATATTTTTTTTTAAAGATTTTATTTATTTATTTGACAGAGAGAGACACAGCGAGAGAGGGAACACAAGCAGGGGGAGTGGGAGAGGGAGAAGCAGGCTTCCCGCCAAGCAGGGAGCCCGAAGTGGGGCTCAATCCCAGGACCCTGGGACCATGACCTGAGCTGAAGGCAGATGCTTAACGACTGAGCCACCCAGGCACCCCTAAATAAAGCAAATATTAATGGACATGAAGAAAGAAATTGATGGTAATACAATAATAGCAGGGGACTTTAATCCTCCACTTGTTTCAATGGAGAGATCATTCAGACAGAAAATTAATAAGGAAACAATGTCTTTGAATGAGACATTGGACCAGATGTTCATAACAGATATATACAGAACATTCCATCCCAAAACAAAAGAATACACATTCTTATCAAGTGCACATGGAACATTCTCCAGAATAGATCACATATTAGACCATAGAACAAGCCTCAATAAATTTAAGAAGATTGAAATTATAGCATGAATCTTTTCTGACCACAACAGTATGAAACTAGAAATATCACAAGGAAAAAAACTGGAAAAAAACACAAACACATGGAGACTAAACAACATGATACTAAACAATTAATGGGTCAATGAAGCAATCAAAGAAGAAACCAAAAAGTACATAGAGATCAATGAATGTGAAAATACAATGGTCCAAAATCTCTGAGACAGTGAAAGCAGTTCTAAGACGAAAGTATATAGCAATACAGGCTTTCCTGAAAAAGCAAAAAAAATCTCAAATAAACAACCTAACGTTATGCCTAAAGGAACTAAAAAAAACCAAAAAAAACAAATATTCTTTTTTTTAAAGATTTATTTATTTATTTTAGAGAGAGAGCACGAGCGAGTATGGGGAGGGGCAGAGGGAGAGAGAAACGTTAGTGCACTCCTTGCTGAGCTCGGAGCCTGATGCAGGGCTTGAT